AAGGTGGAGGGCTGACCTGAAGGTGTGGAGGGCCTGGAAGGTGGAGCCCTGAAGGTGGTGGAAAGGTGGAGGCTTGGAGGGAAGGTGAGGGCCCCTGAAGGTGGTTGGGAAGGTTGATGGAGGCCTGAAGCGCCGGAGGGCCTGAAGGTGGTGGGAGGGCCTGAAGGTGGTGGAGGGCCTGAGGTGGTGGAGGGCCTGAAGGTGGAGGGCCTGAATGGAGGCCTGAAGGTGGTGGAGGGCCTGAAGGTGGTGGAGGGCCTGAAGGGTGGTGATGGTGGAGGGCCTGAAGGTGAGGGCCCCGCGGGATAATGGATCCTGATGCTCATTTCCCGGACTTGCTTTGGAAAACGAGGCCGAATGGGAGGGCGATCGTGCATTCCTCCGCCGTAACTGACTCGCGTGATTACAGGGGAAGAGGCTGGGATTTTCAGGCGTTTCCTTCTCTTTTTTTCCATTTGCTGGGGCTGCGGGTGCTACACACGCGGTCATACGCATATGCATGCACACACACACACACACACACACACACACACACACACACACACACACACACACACACACACACACACACACACACACACACACACACTCACACACACACACACACCACACGTATAGGCATGTATCTATCTATCTATCTATCTATATATGCATATATAAATAAATAAATAAATATATATATATATATATATACATATATATATATGTATATATATAATATATATATATATATATATATATATATATATATATATATATATATCCATCCATCTATCTATCTATCTATCTATCTATATACATATATATCTATATCTATATCTATCTATCTATCTATCTATAAATATCTATATCTATATCTATATCTATCTATCTATATATATATATGAATGTATATTTATCTTTTATATTTGTTCTAATGAAAGGCCTCTGAAATATCTGCGTCCGGCATGCTCAGTGGCTAACCTTTTGTCACAGGTTTATTGATACTAATTAGAGATAAAGTTATCGCCGCAGCAGTAAAAGTAACTAGTGTCCGATTCCGTTCGCAAAGTTTTCTCTCAAATCCCCGAAGTTATCTTAATCGTTCCTTCGATTATCTGAGGACAAACGGTAATGATTTTGCATTAAGGCCGAAGGATGGCACTGACTAAGCAATCTTTCAACAAACTAAAAGAAAAAAAAAGAAAGAAAGAAAAAAGTTTTTGCTCGAATAGTGAACCGTCATGTAACACTCAGGTCTATGCATGATTTTTTTGGACATGTGTAAGGTATTTGATCAAGTTCACTGTGCTATTCTATATTTAACTAAAACGGCGTGTTCCTTTGTGTATCGTGCATGCAATCATTGTAACTATTGCATGCAACTCAGAGATAGACGTAAAGCAAAGTTCACATACATCTTCAAATGTCACTGTCACTCGCGGTATAAATATTTAAATATCTCGGGAGGATATTTTTCTCTTTTAACCTTCATTATCTAGCTTGCAAGCGTTGCTTAGTGAAGATACCGATTTCGCAACAGAATTCAAGCTCGCCATGTAGCAGCATCGAGTCTGTCAACGCAGACGTGTATCTTGGCTAATTTCTTCAACTCAGAACGGTTCAAAATTAGCATCATCTATAACCGTCTATTCGCAGAGAAGAGAAAATAACAACTTACTCCGAACTCTGCAGTACTCCGAATCGCTGAGTTCCTTGTGAGAACGCACAATTAAGTGGTGCAAAGCGACAGAAAATAACATTCATGATTCTTAAAAATACTCAAGCGTGTAACTCGTGAGTGGGGATGAGATGCCAGTTTTTCATTATCTGAGAAGGAACGTACTATTGTAAGCCTGCGTGGAGGATTGTCAGAGCCAATACGGCAGTCTTGATATATCCACCTTTGGACAGCTGCTTCCTAAGGGTGATGTTAGCCTGCCGAAGAAAAATAACTTGTAAACCTGCCTCTCTGTGTGGCTTTATAGCCACACAGAGAGGCACATGTGTATATATATATATATATATATATATATATATATATATATATATATATATATATATATATATATATATATATATATATATATATATATATATATATATATATATGTATATATATATATATATATATATATATATATATATATATATATATGTATATATATATATATATATATATATATATATATATATATATATATATAATATATATATATATATATATACTATATTATAGTACTATATATATATATATATATATTATATATATATATATATATATATATATATATACTCTCCATGCCCCGCTTGCAGTCTAATAACAACCCAAGCCAAGCGTCCGCCAAGACAGACCCAGCGTGACCCAGTCTGACCTCCAAGGAGTACAGTGGCAACGTGTCAGCCTCTCATCCCAGGCGCGAGAAATTGCGACTGTCGCCTCGAGATTACCGCTGTGGCTGGGCACCGCAGCGGGGTAAGGACTAAGCTCTGCCGCGTCAGCACTCGTTGACTGACACAT